CAAACTGCAACGTTGAGGCTAAAATAGCTGACATCTTAAACTTCCTATTTAATTTATAATTCAATATAATTCTGGGTTTATTAAATAAATCCAAGCTTTTCATGCCCCAAAACTAACGTCTTATTAAGGCCAGGAGAGACAGCTGGGCCGCCTAATATGTAGATATTACGGGTAAAATGCAATCCATGGAAGGAATGCCTCGATTTTATATTTTTGGATAAACTTTTTTAAATAATTTTTTGAACATATTTAAACATCAAAAATATATATATAATCAAAACAATTCAAAATATTAAATTATTTATATATTTTTCAACATAAAATTTTAAAAGTTAGAAAAACATAATTGATATGTGAAGTATGTGAATTATTAGTTTTTTCAAGTCTTTTTTAAAAAGTGCAAATTTCAATAGTCACTTGGACACTAACACTCACTGAGACACTAACAATCACACACTAACAGTCACTGAGATACTAACACTCACTGAGACACTAACAATCACACACTAACAGTCACTGAGACACTAACACTCACTGAGACACTAACAATCACACACTAACAGTCACTTGGACACTAACACTCACTGAGACACTAACAATCACACACTAATAGTCACTCACAAACAGTCACTCAATAACAGTCACTTGGACACTAACACTCACAGAGACACTAACAATCACACACTAATAGTCACTCACTAACAGTCACTCACTAACAGTCACTTGGACACTAACACTCACTGAGCCACTAACAGTCACTCACTAACACTCACTGAGACACTAACAGTCACACACTAACAGTCACACACTAACAGTCACTGAGACACTAACTGTCACACACTAACAGTCACTGAGACACTAACAGTCACTCGTACACTAACACTCACACACTAACACTGACTGAGACACTAACAGTCACACACTAACAGTCACTTGTACACTAACACTCACAGAGACACTAACAATCACACACTAACACTCACTGAGACACTAACAGTAACTCAGACACTAACACTCACTGAGACACTAACAGTCACACTAACAGTCACTGAGACACTAACAGTCACACACTAACAGTCACACTAGCAGCCACACACTAACAGTGACACACTAACAGTCACACACTAACAGTCACACACTAACAGTCACTGAGACACTAACAGTCACTCGGACACTAACAATCACACTAGCAGCCACACACTAACAGTGACACACTAACTGTCACACACTAACACTCACTGAGACACTAACAGTCACTCACTAACAGTCATTCAGACACTAACACTCACCGAGACACTAACAGTCACACACTTACACTCACTGAGACACTAACAGTAACTCGGACACTAACACTCACTGAGACACTAACAGTCACGCTAACAGTCACTGAGACACTAACAGTCACACACTAACAGTCACTCGGACACTAACAATCACACTAGCAGCCACACACTAACAGTGACACACTAACTGTCACACACCAACAATCACTGAGACACTTACAGTCACACACTAACACTCACTAAGGCAGCCAGGTACCAGATGTCATCACATGTTGGACAAATATATCTTTAAAAACAAGCAGGAGGAAGTATGCTTGCTTTCATGGGGTTTATCTACTAAACAATGAAATAAAAAGGTTAACAAGTTCAGTGTTGAGTTACTGGAACGCTGGCAATGTAATAGCATTTACCGAACAAAGAAATCTTACTTTTCTGTTGGAGATAGTGTAGTGGGCCGGGTGTAACCAGACCGGTTATCTTCTGTAAGTCACTTCGGTCACTTAAGAGGGAATCGTTAAAACACATAGAAACCCAGTCTGTCCCCTCCAGTAACTGGACGACACACAGTCCCAGGGGTACAGCAACGACTTTATTGGCCACACTCGGCTTTATCCTTTTTTCCCATGCAAGGGGAGGACACCACACCAGGACATTGTCCCCTCCCAGGATCCTTCCCCTCCCAGGAGTCCCAGGGCGGGACAAGAACTCTGGCCCCTTTGTCCCTTGTTCTCTCCACCCAAACACAGGTCTTCCCACTTCTGGTGACAGGGGGTCTTCTTCCCATAATCCTCTATGCCTGGGGGACAAAGCGCGGGAGAGGGGTGTCATTGTCCCTTTGTCTCACTTCCAGCGAGGGTCTTCTTCACAAGAGCCTCTGTACCTGGGAGTCCCAGATCGGGTAAGACTCCCACCTCCTGGGCTCCCAGGTACAGAAAGCCCGCCAAACCTGCCATTGTCCACAAAGGATGTCCACAACAACTCCAGAGACCTTCACAACGGTACCTGTTGCGAACAGCCCCCGTTCGCAGGGTCTCTGTATGGAACCAGGCAAGGGAAGCGTCTTTCGGGATATGAATGCTCCCACTTGCTCGTTTATACGAACAGCGGCCCCACCGGGGAAGTACTCATGAATTAATTCCCTTGCGGTTTCACACTTGTTGGGAAGTGTTATTGCGGTTTCGCACCTATGTTGCAACTTGGGGAAAGTACTAATTGATTGGTGTGAGCATTCCAATGGACCCTGGGCGGTGCTCGTTGGGGAACCAAACAGGGTCTGTTCGGGACAAGAAGAAGGAGGGAAGCAGTTCACTGATGCTCCCCCTGGATGGCAGCCAGTGATACGAACGGTCGGCCACCCAGGGGAAACACGCGCCAAGGCTTCCCTTGCGGTTTTGACAGCAGGTCGAGGTGTGAACGTTCTAAATCAACATTCTAAATGAGATATTAGGGTGGTCTCCATTCGGGAGATTAATGAGTTCCGTTCGTGTGAGCTTCCCCAAACAGGGAGCAGGCAAAATACACGAATAGTCACAAATACAGGCAATAACATAAAGACAATTCATGGATAGGATGCGGTCCCACCACAGATAGTTTCCAGGTTTGGAATAATGATAAGGAAATAATACTGGTGGTATGATCTAGCATCATTGATATTATTTATTAAAGGTGGCCGATTTAATGACGCATTAGCTATCTGCCTGGAGAAGGTCAGTATTTGCTCTATTATCCATAATAGCTTTTGACGTAATTTATTTTGAAGGAAATATCTGCTGAAATGACTGAGAATTTCCCAACCAAACCTGGAGCATTGAATGTAGTTCAGATCCTGTACATTGCGACAGAAATATCCAGATAATTCCGATAAGCACAAAATTAGCCTGATAGTATCTACTCCAGTAATGCATGCTGGGCTTGTTTGGAGTTTGTCAGATTTAACGTAGCTTTGTGGCTGCGCTACGTTTTAACATCTCCCACACAGAATAATAGGAAACGAGAAAACCCAACCATCTGGTTTACACTACACGTCAGTCTGACACCTGGTTCCGTTTGGTATAAAGAGGAAAGACAAGTGACTGCAAACTCCCAAAACATCATGAAGGGAAACATACATTTATTCCATATTTAAGTATATTTAAAAGGACAGTGCAGAACCTGTAATGACTTCATTGTATTGAAGTGGTTATGGTGTCTGGTGTCCCCTGGCGCTGTCCTTCCATTCAGAGTTCAACTGTTTTTATGTTTTAATGCTAAATGAGAGTCCCCAGCCCATCCCTGCTGTGCTGCTTGTACTAATGAGGAAGAATTAGCCTGAGCAGCAATGGCAGCTGTGGTTGGCTGAGAGTTCCAGCTGATCAGAGTGCCCATTGCTGTTGTGAATTGGTATGGCTAAAAGGAAGTGTGTAACCTCTGTGTTTGCCACACCCC